CCCCAAAACCCCAAAACCCCAAAACCCCAAAACCCCGAGATTTTAAGCCAAAGTTGAGACGAGGATTTATAAATATATTAGATTAGCAGTAAGTTCATAAAGAGAGTTTAGAGGCTGACCCGATCATTTTTTCGAAATTTTTGTTGAAGAGTTGGGGCATTGACTGGGAATAGAGGGGAGTTTTAAGTTTAAGACATAGTGTTAGGGTTATAGTTAGAGTCTTGGGAATAGGCCCCTTGGGTGATCATGAGTGGAGAGAGCCTTAAGAGGGGCTTCAGGTGTCTGTTTAGGAGCTGGAGGGTTAATTTTTGGTATAGATCAATGAATTTGATGAGAAAGTTGTTATTTATGACACTTATGTTCTGCTCTGTGCTAAGCCAAGGTAAGTAATGAGTTTAGCAAACTCTTTTTGTGGAGATGAAGGAACATAACAAGAATCCTTGTCTGATTAGAACGACGTTCTTCGTATTTTTTGGATTTTCTTTTCTTTCCCGATTCTTTGAATTTGCCTGCTTTGACCCTAAATATGAATGTAGAAGCAAAATTAAAAGATAATTATAATAAAGCAGATGTAGACACTCTAAAATACCTGATTGCAGCTAAGGAATGCTTTGTTTTTGAAACACAGGTAATTTCAGATTGAAGGGTTGTTTTCAGTCGTATCGACTATAAGATTAAATTTTATGGCTAAGAATTTCACCAATCTAACTATAGCAATCTGGTCTGATTTCAGAATGGCCCAGAGCCGTATCTCATATCTCTCAGGATATCTCTGATAGCACATCAGTCGCCTCTGGCTCAAGCTCATTCAAGTCCAAAGACTCTAATAAGCTTAAAGGAGGAGTCATTAGGTACATATGCCAGATATCAGATGACAATAATAGAGGAGTGTCATGCTGTTTCATGAATGTCCTACACGACTTCATTCGAAAAGATGCTTCCTCTGTTGAGCACCAGGACTCTTCTCATAAGAGTACTGTCACCCTCATTGGCTCAAGTAAGCTAGAGGTCCTTGACAGTCAGCCTGGTCTTGTCTTTGAAGGTAAGAGCGGACGTTGATGTTTTGATAAAAGTTGGATAATTTATTAGCATCCTAGATTTCTTATCTTTTCTGATTATCATAATTTCCAATCAGGAATAAATATTATAGTTTTGGATACACAGAACAAGAAGGTGATTGACAATTTGATGCAAGATTTTATCCATAAAAAGAAAGGGAATGAGACTCTAGGTAATGAAACTAAGTCTAAAGATGAAGATAAGCATCCTCCTAAGTCTGATCTTTATGATCATAAGAAGAAGGCTCAGATAGAAAAGAATAGGACTTCTTATGAAAAAATTCCGATAGTTGATTGAGTTGACTACTTTCTTGAAAGAAGCAAAACAAACAGAGATGACTCTCCACCTCTAAATCCTCAAGAGATATCTAGCCTGTTAATAGACTTTTCTGAGCTCTTTTTAATTTTCGAAGAACTAAACAAGGAAGAGATTAGTAAATTTCTAAATTGTTCAGATTATCTCATCCAGCATCTCCTCAACAAAACCTCAATTTTCAAAAACCAAGGACCCTTATCCTCACTCAGGAACCCTTCCAGCTCTACTGCATCGTCATCTATCCCTCTTCCGATGCATTTAGAAGCTTCTTTGACCCAGAGTATTTCAAACGCTGATCAAAATCCCCCTTCTGAAATCCCCACTCCTTCTTCAAAAGAGCAGTCCATTCAAAGGTAAGCAAGCCTATATACACCTATAATCCTCTTCGCGCCCTTTTCTTCTTCTCTAAAATCCCTTAATCCTGCTTATTCCCAATTTGTCGGAAACCAAAAGGCTTTCATTGAGGTTACGAAATTACGTCATTTTTTTAGACTTAGAAATTCGGATTTTTGGGATTATAGCTGATATTTGGCTGCCTGGATTTTGGCTTTGGGATAGGATAGGTTGGGATTTTTGGGGGATTTTTGGGTGGCTTGGTGAATGGGGTGGAATAGATGCTGATTAGGGGTATAGGAGATGCTTAAGGGAAGAGAGAGTGGATAAGGTATTAGTAGAGGAGCATGAGAGGAGGAATAGGTAATTTTTTGATTTTTAGAGGGTGGTAAATTTGGATTTAGGTATCTTCAGGAGAGAAATCATTGCGGAGATGGCATCAGACAAGAAGAGGAAGCCTGAGATGACTCTAACCAAATGGATGGTGATGGATGCTCTTCTGATTGTAAGAAAATTGAGGCAAATTGGAAGTGAATTCCTGATCTTTCTAACTTCGGAGACGTTTGTCATCTCGACTATCAGAATTTAACAACATCTCCAAGAATTCAATGGATAGCTAGACTGACTCTAGCTTTTATCATTATTTCTATTTTTATTGAACTAGTCCAAATTTTCATTGAAAAGAGTCCTCTTAAATTATACTCTTCTACAGTAAACCAAGTTCAGCTGATTTTGATTTTGCTTACTCTGCCATTTGAGTTACCACTGAGTATTATGACCTATTTAAAGACTCTCTCTCCCTTTCTACTAAGTTCAAATGGGATATTCCTTTTGCCAAACTCAATCAAACAACTATTCCATTACCAACAACACAACAATGGTATGTATGTTGCTGGGTTTCACTCTGGAAGCTCTTTTGTCAATCTAAATTTGGTTCTAACAGTTCTTCTTTTGCTGTGAATTGCTCTCATGATGGTATCTTCAAGGTACGTTCGTTCAAAGCTAAATGAATATCCAAATAAGCTCCAGGTAATTATCATCAGAACTTTCGAGTTCTTGATTTATGAGTTTATCCCAGCAATTATTTCAACCATTTTTATGGCTTTGTGACAGTCTTGATTTTCTGAAATTAGTAGGTTGAACCAACTAATAAATACAAGTGCATGCTCTCTAGTGTTTGCTATCCTGTGTTGCTTGTTGATTATTGTCATAGTTGGAGTATCCTTAACAAACTCTATCCTCTTTGTGAATGGTATCCGCTCTTTCTGATGACAGAACTTACTGTGTTATCTCAGAACTTCAAATATGGCTGCCTATCATCCGTTCCTGTACCTTCTGAGGAGAGCATTACTAGGTCTATTATTAGAATGTAAGTAATACTCATCTAATATTTTAGTCTTTCCAAGATCAAACGTCTTAATGTTCATGTTGGCTTTCCTTCTGATAAATTATCTTCACAATTTGTATGTCCTCTTAGAAAAGCCATTCGTCAGCCAGATTGATAATTTCCAAGAAATTATGAATGGAATCTTTTACTTATGCTTTGGAGTAATGGTCTTATTTGCCAGCCAGAGAGGAAAGTGGGATAATCTAATCGAGCATGGACTACTGTACTTATTTGTATGCAATATTGCTTTAAATCTCATTATTTCTGGTGTTTCATTAAGTAAGATAGACCAAATTTGACTTTAAATTAGCATAATTATTTATAGTTAAAAGTATAACCAAAAGACTCGGATTTTGAAGAGATTTCACACTAAATTGAAGCATTCCAAAACCCCAGATGAAAAAGTAAGCCCTCTCGACAATACTCATTCTCTAACATCACTACAGTAGCCCTAGGCTACCTCGAAAAAGGACATTGGTCATCATGATCGAGCCAATAAGCGCACCATTATCCCCGAGAATCACTGATTTCTCCAAAAAGCCGCCTTACCTTAGTTCTGGAGCTCTCCAGAGCCGTATATGCTTGGCTGAGAATATAGTATAAACTTTGTAGATAATTGCCCCATCCATATTTCAATCTTAATATTTTTTTACGGGGTTTTGGGGTTTTGGGGTTTTGGGGTTTTGGGG